ATCCCTCTCACAGTTACTGTTATTGAGTCTGTTTTCACCCAGTCTATATGTGTACTTTTGGTTTTTCTTGCCTAAGTGTAGGACTTTACTTTTCTCTATATTGAATTTCATTTTGTTAGATATGGCCCAGTGTTCTAGTCTGTCAAGATCCATCTGGATCTTGAGCCTATCTTCTTGGGTGTTAGTTATTCCTGCCAGCTTAGTATCATCTGCAAATTTGGTAAGTTCCCCTTCTATTCCCTCATCTAAGTCGTTAATGAACATATTGAAGAGTACTGGGCCTAAGATGGAACCTTGTGGCACCCCACTGCTTACTTCCCTCCATGTAGACTTAGACCCATTAAGGACTACTCGTTGAGTACGGTTTGCCAGCCAGTTGCGAATCCATCTGGTGGTGGTGCTATCTATTCCACTTTTTTCAGCTTCATTCAAACAAAGGTAGTTCCCCCTGCAATCCAAAACACGATAGCAGCTATAAAATCTGCACTTAAATTCAGTTTATAATCATCAATATTTTAGCTATTTCTACCCGTAAAAGGTATATTCTTTAGTATCCTTTCAAATGGAGAGAATCTGTCACTCAAGGAAGAGCATCTGAATTATAAGCTTAATAGTAACAGCTTAAATATTTGAGATCTCCAGTTAAGGCTTAAACTTTGGCTTCCAAACCTAGATAGCCATTGCCAAATAATATCAACAACATCAGGCTAGTTGAACCAATTTTCTGACTCAGTATAAGGCAGCTTCTGACATTTCTAATTCTTGGCTCACGTTTAAAGATGAAATATAAAATTTTATGAACTGCTCCAATTTTAAACCAACTTGCTATAGATTTCTGTGGTTCTTATTGTTTGCTCCATGGCATTTTAGATCAGATCTCAGTACCTCAGAATTATATGTTGTCAGAATTGTATGTTGTTTGGCTCAGGCAAATATAGCTGAACCCGGTTTAACAGGCAGTTTATCTCATATCATTCCAAGATTTTTTTTGATCCCAATCCTGTTTATTGTTTTATAGGAAAAGATAAACAAATTAAACAAACAGGAGACATGCACATGAAGATCCTTTAGGTTCAAAGCAACTGCTTCTCACTAAAAATGAGAAAAGGGTAGATAAATTATAAGGAATGGTGAAGAATGGTAAAAAGCTGTGAGTTTCAACTACTCTAGAAATCTTCTGATTCCTGGTGATCACACCTTCTAATAAATTACCAGGACCTTTGGCCTATCTTTGAATTAGGTTACACTCGGGAATAGCTGAACACCAGAGGATTTTTAAATTTAGTGGGCATGAAAGTGAGAGGTTACATCCATTAATATGAATAAAGCAACTGATGCTCAATGGAGGACTGGAGCAATATAAGAAGAATAACACTAGTCACTTGGATTAGACAATTATATATTTCCCCTTTCTTTCCATAAATATATTTCAATTTGAAGAACTATGCATTTTGTTACCGTATTCTCTATGTGTAGATAATCATCTTTTTCCAGCTGAAAGGGATCCACTTATGTTGTAGAATTATCTGGATGTATTTCACAGGTCAGGCACTCCTAGAATTTTCTTGGTCACTGATTAATTGATCCTAAATGGTATAATTAGGATTTCCTGCACTTCTGGTCTGTCCTGCATGAGCTCTCAATAAAAAAGCTAGTTTTTGTACTGTAAAAGCTATTGAACAGAGGAACCATTTTAAAAGAAAATTTAAAATCCACAAGATTCTAAAAAAATTTCTTCAAACCATGTTTTTATACGTTAAATATTTTAAATGGGGTGGACTTGTGATGCGGCTCCATTATTACTGACATCCTTTGTTATTTCTTTTGTTGTCTTCTGTTTTTAAATATTTTACAATAAGTGGTTTTAGCTTTGTTGTATGCCCCCCAGAGTTGCTTTTATAAGTAAGATAAATATGTCCCATACATGAGCACTCCAGAGTTTTATCATTTCATCTGATCATGAGTACTTTTTTGTTTTGTTTTTTTCTGAAATTAATTGTGGAATTCATAGATGGGGCCTAACTACAGGCAATCCTTGACTTACAACCACAATTGGGTTCAGAATTTTCATCACTAAGTGATGCATTCATAAAGCGTGATGTCACATAACCACATCTCTCTTAGCAGATGAGCGATCCCAGCACTCACCATTGTTGTTACTGAATTCCATTGGTCGTTAGTTGAGGATCCACCCAAATTTAAGTCATCAAACCTCAGCTGCCCCAGCCCAGTCCCAGCCACTTTTGCCGCCCTCAACTCTGAGACTCCTGCTGCCTCAAGCTGAACCTGTTTTCTTGCTTCTCTTCACTGAGGTGTGCCTGCCCTGACCTCCCCAGATCTCGTGAAAAAACCATGCATGGCATGGGGAAGGAAGCCCCAAGTGGCCAGCAGCTGCTTTGTAGGGGCCAGGCCAGGCATGTGTGGTCAGCAGCAGGAGGAAGAAAATGGTGAAGATAAATATGGCAGCAGGGGCCACGAAGGGCAGGGAGTCAAAGGGAATAGGTGTTGGTGGTGTTGGTGGGGAAATAGGGAGGTGGGGGGAATTGGAGTGCGCCTACCATCATAAATGCGGGCATGGTGACAAGCACCCAAATTTTGATCACACAACCATGAGGGCACCTGCAACAGCTGTAACGTTAGGGACCAGTCATAAGCCCCTTTGTTCAGCGGCGCTGTAACATCAAATAGTCGTTGAATGAATGGTTGTAAATCAAGGACTGCTAGTAGAGTCCTTGATGGAGAAAGCTACAGCTGCATCCTAAGCATATCTACCTTGGCATAAATTCTGAAATTTTCATCAATTTCTCAGTACATACCGAGTACATACATCATGTTAAGCTAAGGGTGTTTTTTTAACCAAGATTTGTTGAACTACTGTGTCTTTTTTAGATATAATCAGATAAAGTAACTGATCCTGCCTTTCATCGTAGAGATGTGTCAAAGATCTATCTTCAATGTAATTCATTTTATTCATTGTGAGCCTAATGAATGCTTTGGATCAACTAAATTGAAGTGAATGGGATGTACTCTACAGCAGGGGTCTCCAACCTTGGCAACTTTAAGACTTGTGGACTTCAACTCCCAGAGTTCCTCAGCCAGCAAAGCTGGGAGTTGAAGTCCACAAGTCTTAAAATTGCCAAGGTTGGAGACCCCTGCTCTACAGGATAACTATGCTTCAGTGCCCATATCCTGCTAAAAATGATTTGATTAATTTTGCTCTGTGTTACCTTGTAAACCTAAGCATCAGCAGTTCTTCAGCTATCCAATGTGATTTTTCTGACTATGCAGTTTCTAGATATGGTGCAATATCTTATTGAGAAGCTTAAGTTGGTATTATTGGATTACTATAGAGGTATCTTCATTACTGCTGTCAAGAAAAAATATTAAAATAATTTTAGACTAATCCATTACATTAGGATAATGAAGCACCACAGTACTGTGCGTGCAAATTGAAGACCACAATATTGGTAAGAAGCCTACAATCACACCATTCAAAGTTGTGAACTCAGTACATTCATACCTTCTCTCTCCGAGTGCAATTTAGAAATGCTCTGATAAATTCTGTCCCTGGTTCCTTAAAAGTAAGGGCCATTAATTCAGTGGATCTCATTTCCTACTGGGTATGCTTAGGATGGAAACTCTTAAAATTAAAAATGTGCTTGCTATATAGATATTTCAGTTGCTGGAATGTGAACTAAAGTATGTGAATAACATTGTGTTTAAACAAAATTAATCAAGAACCCATAACATTAGGATATTAGCACATTAAATGAACTAACTAATCTATAGGATTTAACTTCTCCATAAGCAGAGACAGGTTGCTTTACATCATTTGTGAAAACCAAATTGTATTATTTTCAAAGAATGCAATAACTGTGGATTGTCAGTGATAATCTACAACTAAATAGGCAATACAAATACAAATATCAGTCTTGGAATTGCAAACACTATCAACAATAGAAGAGAGACTACTCATTGTACTGGACAATGGAACAGTAGGACTTAAGCACAGAAGTTTCACTGATTTCATGGGGGAAAAGCCTAAGCACACCTCAGAATTAGGGACACAAAGGTGATCTTATACATCTTGATTGAAAGGAAATTCCACTGCATTAGTAGCAACTAAATTTAAAAAAAAGATTACATGACATTTTGATTAGTTTGATTGGCTGGCTGGCAATATCTGTTATGGGGATCCATAGCTGGCTTGAAAACACACTGCTCCAAGAATACTCATTGAATTGCAGTTAAGTATCGTGGTGTGTCACAGGGCTTGGCTTGACTCTCATTTTCATCCACGTAGATGAATAGGTAGAAGCAAGTGCTTAACAGATTTGCTGATTATACAAAACTGAATAGGATAGCTAATATATTAATAGACAGAAAAAAATTAAAGACAACCTATTGACTGAAAAAGAATGAAATTTAATAAAGTTCTTCACGTAGAAAAAGAAATCAAATAAAAGATATCGAATGGGGGAATCAGTTGCCAAATATGAATCAGTTGGCATAAATGCTGAAAAGGCAAATAGAGTTTAGTATATTTTCTAAATCCCAGAAGTAAAGAATTATATTACATTCTTAGTATCATAGAGTTGCTGGGCACTGCCACTTAAGAGAGGCTCTGAAAAACTGGAACAGGTGCCCAGTATAAGACCTTACCAAGATTATTCAAACACTGAATATTTAGCCAAGTTCTCAACTAGAATCTTATGACATTTCTCAATGTCACAAAGCCATGATTGGACTGTTTGAAAACTTCTCTCTGTGCTGTATTCATGCCAAAAGTCACTGCTGTAGTGTGAATCCTGCTTGCCTTATAAGAAGATTAAGAGTTGGGCATGTTTAAGCCTTCAGAAATAACTGAGGATGGTTAGAATCATACTTTCCAAGTGCCGGAAGACGGCTCTTATAGAAGAATGACTTAGTCTCTGCATCCCAGAGTGTGGGACATAGATTAAGATGGCCAATTACAGGAAGTGATTCCAATGGACAAAGCCAAGGGCTGGGACTCTCCTTTGCTGGATGTGTTCAGTCAGAGGCTGGGCGGCCATTTGTCTGGAACGCTTTCATTTGGATTTGGCCGCAAGCAGAGGAAAGCGTCTTCCTGTTCAGGACTTCCATGAAATCTTGTATAGATGTTACCAGGCTTCATACTGATTTCATGCCTTGTGCAAAGCTGCATCGGTCACCTGGCCAGCTTGGGTTAAGAGTTGGACTGTTTATTTGGACCTATTTAATACCATTCTCACCCTCTCCTTCCAATTGTACCCGAGGGCCAAAATCAGACTTTTGTCCCAATTATCGCAGCACCCAAACGTGCAAAACCGTCCTTTTCAGGGTGTTAAACCTTCTCGTCTCTCTGCCGCCAGCTGTTGCTCCATCCAGACCGCGCGCAATAACAATAGGCTCCTTGAGTCCTCCGGGCCCCGTCCTCCCACCAGTTTCGATTGCAGTCCGCTGGGCCCGCTCCGTCTCTCTCCCTCCCTCCTCAGCTCGGGAGGGCCAGGCTCATTTGGAAAACTGCACAGCGGCGGCCACCCCGAAGGCGGAAGGAAACAAGTGAGGGAACTTGCAAGCGGCGCAGGAGCAAAGGGTCGCCCCGTCGGGCACGTGCACTGGGCCGCACTGCTGCTGCTGCTGCTGCTCCTCCAGGGCCGCCGAGAGGTATTTGTTGGCCGGTCGCAGCCTGTCCGGGTGGTGGTGGTGGTGGTGCAGGTGGTGGTGGCTCACCGTCCCCGGAGTAAGCAGCACGGGGCCCGGGGCGGCGGCGAAGAGAGGCAGTCCAGCCAGCAGCAGCCTGGGCCCCGAGGAGCCGCTGATCTCCCCTATGATTCTCCGGAGCTCTTGCAAAGAGCTGCCCAGCAAAAGGATGTAATTCCGCGCCAAGAGCAGCGTGGCGATTTTGGAAAGCTTCCGCCCCGGCGAGCTCTGGCAGTGAGCCGTCGAGTAAGGCAGGATCACCTCTCGCAGCGCGTCCATGGCCAAGTTGAGGTCCTGCATCCGCTTCCGTTCGCGGCTGTTGATCTTTCTGCGCAGCAGCTGCTGCTCGCTTTTGCTACCGCCCGCCCGGCTGGTCCCGGTCCCGGTCCCGGACCGCGTCTGGAGCTGCTCCGCCGCAAACTCCGGCCTGCTCTCCTCCGCTTGTTTGGGAAGCAAGGCGGGCGGGGCCTGCGTGTAGCGAACCAGCTCGTACGAAAAGTGTTGCCTCAGCATGGTAGCCTTGCGGGCTTTTCAGAGCCGGCCACGGGCTGGCATCGCCTGAAAAAGCTCGGGAGAAGAAAAGGCGGCCGGGAATGGCGGGGAGTTGCGGTCCAATTGCGGTTGTTGGAAAAAGGGGAGAAGGATCGACCGGTCAATTACTCTTTTAATCTCCCCGCTGGAATGAACGCCGAGATGCGAGGAAAGGGATTCTTGAGCGCAGATCCACTCACTCCAACCCTGTATTAGAGCGAAGGAATGTCAGGCTGCAGCCAATGGGAGTGCAGATCTGGAGGAAACGAGGCGCTCATTGGCTGCCACCAGATGCTCAGTGAAAACGTTGCAGTGGATAAGACCCTTATGGTGAAGTCAGTTTTTCAGCTTTGAGTCTCCTGGTAGCTTAGCGCAAACTTCCAGACAAACCCGCCCCTCACCTGTGCTTTGTGATTTTCGGTTAAACGATTAATGCCCTTTTCTGCAGGTCCAGAATTTATAAACAGGCATTTCAGGATGACAGTGTTAACAATAAAATAGGACCATGTGCACCCCAAAGATAGGTTCACGCATACTCTTATGCATTTCTCTGAATTAGCTTTCGTTTTCTGTCATCTTTCATTTTCTTCTGCCCTGTGTTTTGTTTTGCATTCAGAAATCCCTTGTAGAGAAGACAGTTTTGAGTAAAAATCCTTGACATGTTATATCCCATTTGTGTATGGTACAGTACTGGCAGAGATGAGTCTGCCAACTAAGGTATATGTCTACCCAAGCCTACTGCTTTCCAGCAGTGGACAATAGAAGGGCATAGCAAGCAAAGTGTAAGGATGCTATGTTTCTATATTTTTCCTTCTCTTATCAGAATTCAGAAATATCCAGTTCTCTCTGCTTCCCCTCAATGTTTATGTCCTTTCTTCTTCAGCCCCAGTCCTTCACAGTTGAGCACAGTCAGAACTAGGAATAATCAGTAGAAACCACCTGGATTAGATGTCAGGCCATATAATTCAGTATTTCTTGTCCAAAAGTAACAATGGGATGAGAATATCCAAGAGGTGGACCAGCCCTCTAACAGCCGTCAAAGAAATAGCTACTCATAGCCTAATCTTCTATAAAACTCTTCAGTGCCCTTTTAAAACCGCCCACATCAACTATTTGCACACCTGCTACCAGTTCAACTGTATGCTGTATGGAAACTATTTCCTTCCGTCCACCATTTTCAGTTATGACTTTGAGCTCTAACACAGAGAGAGGAAGATTTTTCTGTATCTAATGTCACGTGAACCATAAGTTGGGTGGAAAATAAATGATTGATAAATATGTGCCATTCATGATTTTATGTGCCTTTATTATATTGCCTCTTCTATAACTTTCATTCCAAATTAAAGAATACTGTTGCTTTAACCTTTATGCAGGAACTGTTGTAGCTCCCCAATCATTTTTGTTACAATTGTTGCATAATCTTTAACAATATAATTTGCCTAATACCCTGTGTGATGTACAGACAATGTTATTTTAGCAGTTCAGATTTCAGTTTTCTTCCTAATGATTTCGAGCATGGAATTTGCCTTTTTTTTTTGCAGTTGCAGGCTCAGTTGATATTTTTACTGAGCTACTCACATGACTTCAAACTCAGTAAGTCCATACTATCTCAAATCTCATTAATTGATCTCATTAAATAATCCAGATGTTTTGTGTCAGCACTATCACTTGATACTAAAGTGTATTTGCCATTTGAAACCCTCCATTTGAGAAAGAGCCTTTTGCAGAGTCTTACAGTCAATTTTTGACATTATCACTTTAAAGGTTTTGATATAAACTGCCAATATGGCCTCTTCATTATCAACCCTACAAATCACTAGTATGTCCGTTTGCTCCTATTCTTTTGTTTTTATAAAAAGTCATGTTAAATACATGATAATGCAGAGAGCTTATTTTCTTCTTCTAGTCTAGATTTAGGGAGAGGAAATCATTGGGGGGTGGGTTTCTCCCAGTTTGTACCTAAATTGGAATCAGGAAGGTATACATTCAATAGCTGATAATCAGTGCAAATAATTCTCTGCTGCTGTTTTAACTTAATTCCATGGTGAAATAACCAACTGTTAGGTATATATGAAAGCACAATAATCTAGCTATAATACAGATAATACGGGACAAAACCTACAGAAATGTATTCAGTGACTTTAAACAAAAGCATTAAAACATACTAAAATAACATTTTATAAATATTATATGTTTATTAAAAATGTGGATAACTGCTTACTGCAATTAATAAAAGAACAATATATTGAAACATGGTAGATTTTCTAGTTTTAAAATTAAATGCTTTCGTTTCTGTATTTTCTGGCCAGATCTATTTTTTCCAATGGGAAGAAAATTAGTCTGTGTTAGCACAGAAAAAATGCCCCTCCCTCCCTCCCCCCCACCCTCCCCCCCTCCCTCTCTCTCTCTCTCTCTCTCTCTCTCTCCCTCCCTCCCTCCCTCCCTCTCTCTCTGTGTTTAAGGAGAGAGAGAAGTCTCTTCTTTTCCTTTGTAAATGAGTTTAAAATAGGCCATCAACATTGATTTTAAATTTTGGAATAGGTTTAAAAGTATCCTTATGTGTAGAAACAATGTGATTCAGTGTGCTGTGAAATTGCATCCACAGATCTATAAAACTGGTTTCAAAGAGTGAATTTCTTTGGAAATTAAAAAAGAAAAAAAACCCAACTCAAACTCTTTAAGCCATTCTGTAGTTAGTAGTTTAAGCCAATTCCTGTACAAGCTTTCTCTGATGCAATAAAAGAGACAGTTTGCTTAGAAGGCGCTAACTGATTTATAGCACAATGGCCAATGGCATAGCCAGGGCTGTTTTTCTGAGGGCGGGGGTTTCCTTTTATATTTTGTTTTTTGTTGCAACAACACCCTGGCAAAAGTCTCAGGAGTCATCAAAAGAGGCGAGTGATTCTGCTTGCTTCTGGGATGTTCCAAACGGTTCAAACAAACCCGTTCACTGGGACGCCTGGCCAAATGTGTGTTCCAAGGAATGAAAGGAAAAACAAAGATTGCTCTGAAGTAATTTCCCTGCACTGAATCCAGCCATCCGGTTTTACTCTTTCTTCATTGAATGGTCAGAATGCAACAGGAAGAGTAAGGCTGAAAGAGAACAACTGGCCAAATGTACTGGCAAAGGGAACTGCAAGAGACGGCAGGGGCAGCTTGATGCAAAATGACCATTCTTTGCTCTTGGAAGGAAATGAATGACCAGTGTTAATAAATGTGTCTTGCTGCAAAGCCAGGGCCAAGTTCCTACGACACCTGCAAAGACAGGAGAAGCTTTATAGATCCAAGCAGCAATCTCTTTATTGGAAACAGACGGGAGGTAATGGATAAAGAGGACACTGTTTGTCATTTGCCTCATTCCTTTACTGCGGTTAGCTCAGTCTTCTTATCTACTTAGGCAACAGCCATGCCTGCTGCCCTTCTGCATAAAACACTACGAAGGGAACTGAACAGAAAGGGAGTGCACCATTGGCTGCGGAAAAGTAATACCAAATCTGCATTTCTTCCTGGCTGCCCCTGTTGAAGACAGAAATAGGGGGCCTGCAGCATTCCAGATGTTCCAGAGGATAACTCCAGGCCGCCCTAGCTAATGAAAAAGGAGGCTCAGATTGTAGTAAAATCTGCTCAGGGGAAGAGAGTACCCAAGTTTTCCACCAATAGTTTAAGGGTTATTGTACCTTATCATTAGAAAAAAAATGTGAGCTGAGGCCTAGCATGGAAGCCCTTTCCCCTGGGATGCAGACAGACTGTCATTCCAGATCCCTTCATGTTAGAGTCTGCAGTGGCACAAAACATCCTGAAAGACCATATAAGATGACTTGAACGCATGGCTAATTGTAGAGAGTAAAGAAACGATCTTGACAGAGATATTGCAGAACTGTTACCTAGGCAAAAGGGCCCAAACATTTCATAAATCCAGAATAATAACATTCAGAAGCAGTTCAGGCAGGTGCCTCCTGTATGAAAAAAGAGGAGGAGGTAGAGCACCATCTGACTTGCAAGATTCTGTTTCTACAGCAATTGCAATTGCAGTAAAAGTAGTTTAACCTTCCTGTGGGATTCATTTCCTGATCTGGTCTACTTGGGCTGACACCAACCCTGCTGTCTTTTGTAGCTACTTCTATAAAGGACAAGATTCCAGCCCAAACCTCAATATCAAATCACATTGGGGTCCCCGGGATACAGCACTCCAGATAGGTGTGTCTATAGAGTATTGTCAGAAAAAATCAGGATGATGGGCAGCTGTGGTAGTACGACTGAAATTCTGTCTGCTCGTGCAATGCTCATAAAGGTCATGCCATCATGGCTGCCATCCTGACCTTATGGACCTGATCCTACGCATACCTCTGACTCTGTGCATAAAAGGAAAGAAGAAGGCAAGTGGAATGTCGTGATTTCCAGTTAGACTGAGTTCTGAGGAGCTGTTGTTGGAGAACATAAGATAAATGAATTTGAAACATCGGGGATTTATCAGTTAGCCAACAAGGATTGAAGACACTTGTTGGGGACCCTTCTCCACTGAAAAAGAAATATTTTTTGCTACTAATCTGCTAAGCATTCTAAGAATCTAAGATTCTGTTGGTATAAGAAAAGCTGTATTTATTCATGTGTTTATTATCTTCAGTATTTACATCTGAGGATTGATGGCAGCGGCAGGTAGCCCAAGAGCCCATACCCAGGTGCAAGTCAGTTTTGCTAGCCTTCTAGTGACAGAGATACAGAAGGGCTGTGCTAGACACCTGCCTCTCCTTCCTCTCTGTTCCTAGTTGAAATTGTTTTGCTCTAACTCTCTTTCTCCGTCCACATTACTGGATATGGAAGAAGTAAGCTACCCTGGGATGCAACAAGGATTGTCAATGGACAATTGCTTTAGTTGTTGAAAAGGAATGTTGGTTTCTTCCAAAGTGCACAGATGATCGTTCAGGAATTCATGGCCAGCCGTTCTCTACAGCGTCTTCTTTTACCCAGATGTTTGAGGCGCA